AACGACACGAATCCCAGGTTTGACGGGTTAACCTGGTTTGAAGGGTTAACCTAGTTAATTTATATTTTTTTCGTTTTCTTTATTAGTTTTTTTTCTTTGTTTTTTTTTTTAAATTAATCTATTTAATTATCACACTTTTATGACACGATCTTATAGCAGACCTACATCCAATGCTCTTGGGTCCAATGTTGCAGCCAAACTCGATTAAACTTAAGTAATGTAAGTTTAATATTATTACTAATATTATAAATATTACTCTGGGGTCAAGTGTTGTCGCTTGACCAGACCCAAGGCTTTTGGGTATATATTTGCAGAAAAACCTAACACTTTTAGATCTTGGCATTTTTTGATATTTTTTATGCAATAAAAAAATAACCCATGGCGTGCCTTTGTTTTTTTTCTTTTTCTTTTTAAGTATTTTTCTATGGACTGCACGGTACAGTCCATAGTGAAAAAACTTATGCTTTTAGTTTATTTTTTTCTCTATAGTTTCTTAATATTAAATTTTTTCTATTTAATTATCAAGTGTTCATGATATGAATCACGTGTTTGATGGTTTAACTCAGTTGATTCAGATTTTTTATTTTTTTTTCTTGTAGGTTCTTTTCTCTTTTCCTTTTTCCTTTTTAATTAATCTTTTTTTTAATTTAGTTTATTAATATTAAATAATTTTTCTATTTAGTTATCACACTTTCCTAACACGAATCCCAGGTTTGATGAGTTAACTTAATTTGACGGGTTAACCAGTTAATTCATATTTTTTTCCTTTTCCTCGTTAGTTTTTTTCTTTCGATTTTATATTTCAACGTTGTATGCAGTCCATAGTGAAAAGGCTGATGCCTTTAACTTTTTATTTTTCTTTTTCTCATGTCTTTCACCGTGGATTGCACAATGCAGTCCACGATGAAAAAGCTGATATATTTTGTTTTTTTAATCAGTTTTTTTATTTAGTTTGTTGATATTAAATATTTTTCTATTTAGTTATCAAACTTTTATGGTATGGATCTTAGGTTTGACGGGTTAACTCAGTTAATTTAGATTTTTTTATTATTTTTTTTTCTTTTTATAAATGTTTTTTGTTATTTTTTCTTTTGAATTAATGTTTTTTTATTTAATTTAGTTGATTAATATAATTTTTTTGTATTTAGTTATTGGTTGTTGCCTTTTTTTTTTAGTTATCTTAGATTTGGCTAATTAGAGAAAAAAAATTTCTTTTTGTTTTTTTTGCTATTTTTATGCCTTCGACTTTGAATTGTACAATGTATTTTATAGTAAAAAGGTGGGTGCCTTTTGTTTGTTTTGGTTTTTTTTTTAATTAATTTTTTTATTTAATTTAGTTTGTTAATGTTAATTTTTTTATTTAGTTATCAAACTTTCATGAGATGGATTCTAGGTTTGACAGGTTAGTCTAGTTAATTATGAGTAACCCATCAATTTTTTTTCTATTTAGTTATCAAACTTTCATGACGTGAATCCAATGTTTGATCGGTAACCTGCTTTGAAGAGTTAACTCAGTTTATTTAGATTTTTATTCTTTTTATTCATTGTTTTTTAAAAGAAAAACTTATGAATTACAACAATGTTTCTCTATATGGTTTTTTTTTCTTTCAAAATGGTCTTTGTTGATTTTGCTTCATAGTTTTTTTTTTTAAAATACTGTAGGTTGTTACAATGTTTCTCCATATTGTTTTTTTTCTTGCTGTAGTGTTTTTCCACATATTTTTTTTAAAAATCATATTTGTCGATTTTTTTAATATTGAGCTGGTTAAGAATTCAACTTTAACTTTCCCCACATGTTTTTTTTCTATTTTTTCCCTAAAATTTTCCTCTTTTTTGTGTTTTTTTTCATAATTATTTTTTTTTATTTTTTTAATATGGAGCTGGTTGAGAATCTAGCTTTGTAGTTTTTTCTTTAAAATACCGTGGATTGCTACAGTATTTTTCCACATAGTTTTTTTTTCTCAAAATAGTCTGTAAATTCTATTTTTTTCATATTGAGTTGGTTAAGAATTGAGTTTCGTAGTTTTTTTTTCTTAAAAACACTAGGTAACTACAATGTTTCCTCACATGATTTTTTTTTTAAATTCTCTTTATTAATTTTATTATTTTTAATATTAAGTTGGTTGAAAATTACAGTTGTAGATTTGTTCATTTAACTTTTTAAATATTTGAGAATTCAGCTTTGTAGTTTTTTTAAAAAAAATATTGTGGATTGTAATAGTTTTTCATATATATATATATATATATATTATTTTTTCTAAACACCGATAACACATAAGTATGTCACAAGTCTATGGTATTTCACCGGCACGTTATCTAGAAAAAAAAACAAATATATAGAAAGAAGAAATTTTTTTTTTAATCAGACCTGCATCCAAGATTATTGAATCTAGCATTACAATCAAACTCATTTAAATCCGAGTCATGTAAATTTAATGTTATTATTAATATTATAAATATTATTCTTAAATTAAGTATTGGAGTTAAACCTAATACTTTTAGATATAACTTTATAAAAATATTTAATATTTTTAAATTTTAATTTTTTTAATATATTTTATATAAAAAATTAACACATGACATCGCAGGCCATGTAACTAGCGTGTGTGTATATATCATGTCCACTTGAAAAAGGGTGGGTGATAATGAGTGAACGTGGGTGGCGCTCTCAATCTTCTGTTGCGGGCTCTCTCTTGTTCGGGCAGTACACTGAAGGCAGTCGTAGCTGGTGAGAGGCACAAACTTGAAGGAATGATTGCCGTGCTTGCTGGATAGATACACGCCCATAAACACAACCCATTCACGCACTCCCCTGCCTCCCTTTTCCTCTTAGCTTTTGGTATTTGTAGAACTAAACATTCCTAGCTGAACGACAAGCATAGTAATTCATTCATTAATGATAAGGTTAGGCAATTCATGCCGAGGTGATGATTTATCCTACGGGGCTGCTTCGGCCATAGGGTTGCGACGCAATCTACATGTTTATTTTTTATTTAAAATTATTTTAAAAAAATTATTGGACCGTTTTAATTTACTAATATTAAAAATAAAAATATTATTTTAATTTTTTAAATAAAAAATATTTTTAAAAAATAATGTATTTTTAAATACCATTTTATAATCTTCTCCCTGGACTACATCACTCAAGATTTAGCAACATGGGAAGCGAAGCACACTCGTTTTAGTGCTATCAATACGGCAAATCCTTCACATAAAGGGCCTTTTATTTTTTATTTTAAAAATATTTTTGAAAAAATATTAAATTTTATTTTGTTTTAAATTAAATTTTATTTTAGTATTTTCAAATTATTTTAATATAATAATATTAAAAATAATTATTTTAATAAAAATTTATTATTTTAATATATTTTTAAATAAAAAATACTTTAAAAAAACCCCTACAACACTCTCAATAACCTAAAAAAATATCAAACTCATTTTATGATATCAAACTCATTTCATTATTTTTTTATATTTTTTTAGTGGCACTACTATATATATATATATGTATGTATGTATGTATGTATATTATGTTATCAAGCCCTCCAAAGTATAGAAATCAATTTTCTTTATATGGATTTTAAATAAATTACCTGCATTCATGCTAGTATATATGGATGGTTGGTAGTGTAGTTATAATTGTTTTTTAAAATATTTTTTATTTATTAAAATAATATATTTTTTATTTATTAAAATTTATTTTTGTTATTAGTGCATCAAAATAATATAAAAATATCTAAAAATATTAATTTTAAACAAAAACATAAATTTTTTTAATTTTTTTAATATTTTTAAAATAAAAAAATAAATATATCTAATTTATTTACTGAACAATTTTTATATGTCATTTATGTGTGAAATGGAAAATATTAAGATTAAAATAATATTAAAAAGCAATCTACAATAAAAAAATGTAATGTTTTTTTATTAATATAAATATTTAAATTAGCTTGTATATATTTTAATTAATTTTATAGGTTTAAAATTAACAATTATATAAATATTAAATGACTATAAGATTTATAAAATTCAAATTAATAATATTTTAAAAATAATTTTAAAATTTAATTAGTTGAATTATAATTATTAAAAAAATATAACTTTAATTAAGGTGGTTAAGAATGTGTTTAAAATCGTGTATTTTAAAATTTTAATTTTTTAATTTTTTTTATCGTATTTTCAACAAAGAAATTGCTTAACAATCATTCAAGCAAAGCAAACTAGCCATCGAGTCATCCAGTGACACTTTCCTATCAAGGTGACAAGGCACCAAATAACAGGAAGAAGAATATATTTTTATTTTTTTTGCCCCTTTGGTAAATGCAATCCACAAGCAAATTTTAATCAACAGCGCGTGTGACATGACCTGACCTCAAAAAAGCTGCCTCAATCCACACATGCACTGTTACGTCAAAATCAACGTCGTGTCATTCATACATTCATTCATTCATCACAACACCCCCCTATCCTACGCGCTTTGCATCCCCCAATTCCATCCCTGTTTATTGAGGCAGTTCTCACCCCATACTATTCCTCATCTGTCACTTTGATCCCTGTACTATAAATATATGCAAATATGTCCCTTAAATCACAATTTCTTTTACTATTCTTAGCATCATCCCCATTTTCTTCCTCGAAATAGACTTCACTGTTACACTTATCCCATGGGGGAGTTGGTTTGCTGCATTCATTAATGATGTAAAGACTAGCTTGTTTCGCTTTTACTTATTCAAATTGCATAATTTTACATGTGAATAGGAAAATAAATTAAGTTATTGTAGATTATGTTCTTAGAAAAACACCAAATCAAATGAAATTGGATGGAAGGATGGGCGTTGCCAAGTAGATTAAGGGATCTAATTGCAATTTATTACTATACAAGGTCTAATATGAAGAATCTAGAAGAATACATGGATGAAAATCGGCATTAAATCCCCACTCTCCCTTCACTCAGAGAATGAGAAAACAACCCAAACCAAACACCTGAAGCGCATTACGCACCCTGCACCTTCTACTCTCATCCAGCTAAAATAAGCAGTTTAATCCCAGGAAAAACAGTCACAATAAACCACTGAGCGGTGATCACTCCACAGAATCCATCCAGTTTTCTCCTTGTCTGCTAGCATTTCCTTCTTCCTTTTTTTATGACCACTCACTGCTCTACTACTTTCACTCCCCTCATTATTTTTATTTCTATTATTATATTACAACAAATAATAATAAATTTATTTCCCGGAACGGTTGTTTCTCTTTCCTTTCTAGCTGATTCCAGATCGAGAATAAAAAAGTTTGGAAAAAAAATCAGAAGTTGATTGATGAGTCTTGAGTAATGGGCTGCGTCTACTCGCGATCCTGTATCGGCGAGGTCTGCATACCGAAAGACCTGAGAGCAAAAAACCAAAACCACCAAGAAACCACTCAGAAAGCTGGAGAGATTCCAGTCTTCTCCCCTGCTGCATCATCTTCATCGCACGAATCCGAAACTCGTGACCACATCAACCAATTAAGCAACCATGACTTAGGAATTGCAGGACTCTCACGTGTCTCCTCGCAGTTCCTCCCTCCTGACGGATCTAGAACCGTCAAAATCCCATCAGCAAACTACGAATTAAAATACTCCTACCTCTCGCAGCGAGGGTATTATCCTGACGCCTTAGATAAAGCGAATCAGGATAGTTTCTGTATCCACACTCCATTTGGTGCAAGTCTGGATGATCATTTCTTCGGTGTTTTTGACGGGCATGGGGAATACGGTGCTCCATGTTCGCAGTTTGTTAAGCGGAAATTGTGCGAAAACCTGTTACGGAACGGGAAGTTCCGGGTGGATGCTGTAGAAGCATGTCACTCTGCGTTTTTGAGCACGAATTCGCAGCTACACGCGGATAGTTTAGATGATACTATGAGTGGGACCACTGCTATAACTGTTTTAGTTAGAGGGAGGACGATTTACGTGGCGAATTCGGGTGATTCGCGTGCTGTTATAGCCGAGGAAAGAGGGAATGAGATAGTTGCAGTTGATTTGTCGATTGATCAGACTCCATTTCGTGTTGATGAGCTTGAGAGAGTTAAGCTTTGTGGTGCCAGAGTGCTTACATTGGATCAGATTGAAGGGTTGAAAAATCCTCATGTTCAGTGTTGGGGAAATGAAGAGGGCGATGATGATGGGGATCCGCCCAGATTGTGGGTCTCGAATGGGATGTATCCAGGGACTGCATTCACTAGGAGTATTGGGGATTCGATAGCCGAGAGTATTGGTGTTGTGCCTAATCCTGAGATTGTTGTTCTGGAACTTGGACCTCAGCATCCTTTCTTCGTGCTTGCTAGTGATGGAGTTTTTGAGTTTTTGTCTAGTCAAACTGTGGTTGACATGGTAATTTTCCTTTTCTTCTTGTGTTTTAAGAAATCTGATGCTGCAAAAACGATACCGCTGCAGTTCCTTATTTCATATACAATTGCAGTTTCTTATTCTGCTTGTAAATCTCCAGGTTGCAAAATATAAAGATCCACGCGATGCCTGTGCTGCAATTGTGGCTGAATCATATCGACTTTGGTTACAGTATGAAACTCGTACAGATGATATCACAGTGATAGTTGTGCATGTTAATGGTCTAACTGAAGTAGGTGGACTGGACTTGTTGCTTACATCAATTCTCAAACTCTCTTTCTCCTACTCTTTGTTTCTTAACTCTTCAATTTTTTTTTCTTCTCATCCTTTTCCTATTGTCAGAGTTCTGTTAGTCAATCTACAATAAGTCCAGGGGCTTTACGACCACCTGTTCCGCAAATTGTTGAGGTAACAGGATCAGAATCACCTGCAAACTTTGGGTGGAATGCTAGGAACCCTCGCGTGAGGCATGATTTGTCACGGGCACGCCTGCGTGCCATTGAGAGTTCACTTGAGAATGGGCAGCTCTGGGTTCCTCCATCTCCAGCTCATAGGAAAACCTGGGAAGAAGAAGTAAGTATTATTTAGTACCTTATCTACTCTTGCATTTGAAGTGAACTTGTGTAAGAGAGAAGTGGTACTGTTCTTTGGGAGTTTTCACATGGAATATCCATGGGTGCTAAGTTTCTACTTATTCATATGCTACAGGCACACATTGAGAGAGCATTGCATGGTCATTTCCTCTTCCGAAAGCTTACTGATACTCAGTGTCATGTTCTATTGGATTGCATGCAAAGAGTTGAAGTTCTGCCGGGAGAAGAAGTTGTTAGACAGGTTAGTTTGTTCCTTGTTTCCTCTTTTAGTTTGGAGCAAAACTTTTACGGAGTTCTTTAGCTGACTGAATGAGCTGGAACTACCATAGAAGAATATATGATCACTGTAATGGATATTTTTTGGTGTAATGGAATGTTGGTCACCATTTCTTGATCATATCCTCCTTCCATTTCATTATATCACAAGCTATTGCATTCTATTAGACATGCTATAAGATGCATGAATGTGTTAATCGAAGGAAGATATGAATCTGAAAGCATTTTCAGTACCTGGTTAGCATTGTAAAATTCGTGAACAAAGCTTTTAAATGGTCAACCTACTCCAGAAAACAATGCTTGAAACATAGAGCTGCCTGCAGCCTTCCTGATATGTTTTTCTAGGACCAGACAATTGCAAATGGAGCAGGTAATTGCTATTTGATACTGGCCTTACGTTTGCATGGTTGAACCTAAACAAACTACCAAATGCAAGAAGTACAGAATATCTTCTTTAGTGCCAGCCAATCTGGGTGGAGTTTTATTTTGACTGTAGAACTTTAATGATGGTCATGATTGGCAGGGTGGTGAAGGTGATTGCTTTTATGTTGTTGGCAGTGGAGAATTTGAGGTGTTGGCAACTCAGGTTTGCATTTCTATCTTCATTAAACTGTCAACTTATCTTTCGTTTTTTGAGGAGTGAAGGGCCATGGATTGGTTGCTGATGCTATGTGATGTCAGGAAGAGAAAGATGGAGCATTGCCTAGGGTTTTGCAGTCCTATACAGCAGATAAGTTATCGTCTTTCGGAGAGCTGGCGTTGATGTGAGTTAAAATTCCAATTGCTTTTGTACTCATGCTCTATGATATTTCCGTTGTTGCAAAACGTTCTTTGATTTTTTTCATAAGCAGGAAAAAAAATGGATTCAAAACGTTCTTTGATTTTTTTTTTCATAAGCAGGAAAAAAAATGGAAGTCAACTGAACAGGTTCCCGAGCAATTGATCTCTGTTTGCTTTGTGATTGTAAACTTGTAAAACTATGTTTCAAATTGTTACAAACACTTGCATAATTGATTCAATACTCTTAGTAACCTGAACTCTTCCCTCACTTTCCTTTATGTAGGTGCATGATGTGATATTCTGTGAATTTGTTGATACATTCCTAACAGATTAAAATGGTTTTATTTCCTTATTTATTCTTTAAATGATAATCCTTGTTATACATGGAAATGCAGGTACAACAAGCCTCTCCAGGCCTCTGTTCGTGCTGTGACGAGTGGAACATTGTGGGCTCTAAAAAGAGAGGATTTTCGAGGAATACTGACATCAGAATTTTCTAATCTGTCATCCCTGAAGTTGCTTCGTTCTGTTGATTTGCTTTCTCAATTGACAATCTTGCAGCTTAGTCATATTGCAGATACTCTTTCTGAAGTTTCCTTCTCAGATGGCCAAACCATAGTTGATATGGTAAACTTGTATGCTTGAATATGTTTTTCTTACACTGGTTTCATTTTGATTTATGTTTCTTGAACTCGTAATTGCAGGATGAGGGTCTCTCTGGATTACACATCATCCAAAAAGGACAAGTGAGAATTACTTTTGATGGGGACTTATTAAGTTGTCCAAATGTTGGAAGTCTGAAGTCTGAAAATCAAAAAGAGGATGATTATCTGCACTGTGGTAGCAAGCTATCCTTAGAGAAGAAAGAGGGAAGCTATTTCGGTGAATGGGAACTTCTTGGTGAACATTTTGATTCTGTAAGTGCAGTTGCTATTGGTGAATGTGTGTGCTCTGTCTTGACAAAGGAGAAATTTGATTCAGTTGTTGGCCCTTTGGCAAGGCTTTCCAAGGGAGAGGAAAAGTACGTTATAATTTCGAGTATGGAATTAAGTACCTGAAAGAAACTATTTTTCTTAATTGACATTCATAGTGTTTCTCTCTCTCTCTCTCTGTGGGTCTTTTTATTCCTCAACGGAAATTTTTTCGTGTTTTTTCTTAATTGACATCATTTAGGTCAAGGAGCTCTTCTTTGAATTTTTTCAAGGAATCTGCTGAAATTACCAATGTGGCAGCTCCTCTTGAAATTCGGCTATCTGATCTTGTGAGAGATGTTCTGTCTGTTGCTGTGCTGCTGATATTATACTTAATAGAGATATTATCTGGACATAGTCTAATAATGTTATCTGTATAGGAGTGGAGCCATTCTTTATATTCCACTGATTACAGTGAGGTTGGGCTTGTAAATTTGAGGGACTCAGGTTGGTTGCTCTGTTCATCTGTAGCTCCCTCTTTTCGTATCCCGCACCATTTTCTTTTCCATCAGTCATTGGCCAGTTGTTTGATTGGCTAGGTTTGAAGCATAAACAAGTGCAAGGTTGCATATAATTTTTAGGGTAAATTACAATAACCACCTTGAGGTTCTGAAATTACAAAGACCACCTAAAAGTTCGAAATTTGACAGAAATCCCCTCCATGAGGACTATCCTCAAGAAAACCTTTTAAAATCTCTTTTTGTGCCCAAAATGCTCTTATTATTTTTAAAACCCCTTTAACAGTAAGGGAATTTTGGGCACAAAGTGTTTTTTTTTTAAATTTTTTATAATATCTTCAAACCTTTGGGTGTTCTATGTAATTTGAAGATAAGCAAATTTGACACGCACCTACTTTTCCAACCTTCATGACTATACATGCTTGCATGGAAAGGGGCTGATGAAAATACCAGGTGTGCTTTGGTGTTTATGGGAATCACACAGATTCTTATGAAATGCACCTTTTTTGTTCTTTCAGAAAATCTGCTTAGTTTGAAAAGGTTTTCAAAGCAGAAGATCAAGACTCTGGGAAAGGAGGAGCAAGTTTTGAAAGAGAAGAATCTTATGAAGAGTTTGGGTACTTCAGCTTTTGTGCCTGAGGTTCTATGTACCTGTGCAGATAGAAGACATGCTGCCATATTGCTAAATACATGCCTTGCTTGCCCATTGGAATCAATACTTCACACAGCACTTGATGAACCATCTGCACGGTTTTGTGCTGCCACTGTTGTTATTGCCTTGGAAGATTTGCATAAGGTTTCTTGTCTAAAAGCATTTCTTCATCATTTCCCTGTTGAATTCCTGATGTTGTAGTTTAGATATGATTAATGAAGTCTTTTACCTGAAGTTGTTGTTCAGATATGATTATTACAGGTTTTTACAGTGCATCTGTGTTTCATTTGTTTTCAGAATGGTGTTCTCTACAGAGGGGTGTCTCCTGAGGTCTTAATGTTGGACCGAACAGGATATATACAGGTTGGTTCTGGATTATGTTTTACCTGACATCATGTTCTTAGATATTCAGATCAGTTTCATGCTACTTTACAGTAAACTTTCTCCTATTACTTACGAAGGAAGGTGAATTTCATGAATTATGCTTAATTGTTTTATTCTGTTGTCTTGTAGCTAGTAGATTTCAGGTTTGGAAAGAAGTTGTCTGGTGAAAGAACATTTACAATTTGTGGAATGGCAGACTCTTTAGCTCCTGAGATAGTTCAGGGAAAGGGGCATGGTCTTCCTGCTGACTGGTGCTGATCCATCATTTCATACCTAAAATAGAACTTTGGTTTAAATATAGCAAATGCTTTATTTAGCATCCAAAAGGAATCTTTTATGATTGTTTGTGTTTGCTGTTTGCTCTTCTGTTACCGAAGTGAACATATTTGGTCATGTTAATCTAAAATTATATAGTGCTAAAGCTAGCCATTTAGAGCAGAACAGTCATTTTAGTTTAACTTAATTGATTATATGTTCAGGTTAGCTGCTATTACGAGAAGTAGACATGGAGATTATTGTGTGCAATCACATACTTTATTTCCTTATGTATTTTTTGAAGATTTTGTGAATGACTATCGGTAGTATTTATTTACGTAAGTCTGAGTTAAGTGATCACCCTGTGTTTTCGGGAAGAGTTAATGAAAATAGGAAACTAGGATTCAGTATGCCAAGAATATGGTAATTCTCATATTTGTTCTGAACTAACATAAAGAAAATAAAATTTAAAATTATGTAAATAAACAAAACAATCATTCAGGTATATGAATGATTGAGGACTAGCACTCATTATTCCTGTATTTTATATGCTAATGGCATTTAGCACTACAATGAACCTTGCAGTTCAATAAGATTTTAAGTAGACATATTTCACTATTTGCAAATGTTTTTTTTTTTCAATATGAGCATGTGCATGAGAGGAAAAAATGGAAACGAGAGTCTTGCTCTTCTCATGGAGCACAGTGTGAACTCTACATATTTATAGTTCAGTCCACGGGTAATGTTTAATGGTAATTGAAGGTGTGCGTGTTCCAACCATGCCTGCTATTTATGGTGATTCTGTTTCCTCCTTTTCCATTGAATTCTGGTTGAAAGATCTGCAACAGCTTTTAACTTTTGTCTGTGGTTGTGCAGGTGGGCATTGGGAGTCTTGATCTATTTCATTCTGCAAGGTGAAATGCCATTTGGGTCGTGGAGAGACAGTGAACTTGATACATTTGCAAAGATTGCGAAAGGACAGCTAAATCTTCCTTCTAATTTCAGCCGTGAAGCTGTTGAGCTCATCACTCAGGTCTTGTTGAGACTGTTTAAATTTTCTCTTTCATGATTTTTCTTTCATTTCATGCAGTAAATTGTTAAAGCCATCAGATTCTTACTTGTGTATAAACCTCTTCAGTTGCTTGAAGTTGATGAAAGTTCAAGACTTGGAAGCCTAGGTCCTGATTCTATAAAAAATCATCCATGGTTTGATGGTATTGACTGGAAAGGGATTAGAGATAGAAGCTTTCCTGTTCCTCGTGAAATAACCTCTCGGGTTGCCCAACATTTGGAAAGTCACTCTGTGGAGTGCACTGCTCCTCTAACTTCTCAGTCACAAGATTTAGACGATCTCAATGCTCCTGAATGGCTTGATGATTGGTAGAAAAATAATTGACATGGGATTTCCATTTCTCCACTACTATTTGGGATGGAGCTCTCCTCTCCAGTGAGGCCAGCTTTTGGGTGCTTGAGTACACTTGAGAGCCTAGAGATTGCAGAAGGTGTGCACAGAATGAAAAGTGAGCTTTGCGCCTGAACTGGCTCAGAGTTCTCCAGCCCTTTTCTGGTCAAAGTACTTGATTATGATAGCATCAGCAAATAATATCATATGGTGGGTAGTTACACTAACCAATTCAATGGAGAGGTCAGTTAATAAACTTTTCTATATGTTAATCGTGTATTTTCTTTCCCACTTCAGTAAATGTGTATATATGTAAATGAGAGATGGTTTTTTTCTCCTATAACGGAATATAGCTTCCCACTTTATTCTTTATATGGCTTTTGATTTCACTGGCTTAGAAACATGGCTTTGCGGCAGGTTCTCTCTCTTATATTCTTTCATTAATAGCTAATGTGGAATGTATTTTTATTGTTGAGAGCTGCTTCATGGATAAAACTCAATTGATTGAGATAAATGAACATGGGGAAACCTTTTTTGAGAGTGTTGTTACGTTTATTAGGGCGTTGGCTGAATCGGTCAGCCCTTTCTTTTTTCCGCCGAAATTTATATATTCTCCACTGTAAATCCCTTCTATTTTCATTTCCAATAAGCCCGCAAATGCAAATTCAATTGTTTTACAGTCGTGTCTCTGTGTGTGTGCGTGCTTGGAAAGACACTGTTCGGCTGGAAATATTCCTCTCATTGATCGGAACCTATGGTGGAGGCCTCGCAGGGAAAACGTTATGAGATTGTGTCTGATATCCCTTGGTAGCTCTGATAGTTTTTGTTTCTCAATTGACATGGATATCCCTTGCGGTGCTGAAATCTATGCGCCGCCCTAGAATGTTCGAAACCAGCAGCAATGTATGGTAGATATGGGTTAAGATTGATTGTGATCCAGAATAAGTAGATATTTGTTACATAGGCTATAGAGATTAGGGATGGAGGGTCCTCAATGCAGTCGATTTGTCAGTTTGGGTTACGGGTGAATTATTTCCAAACAATATGGGGAAGAAGACAATGAGAGTTGCTACGAGGGCCTCAAAGCCCTGAAGGAAATGCTGGGCTGTAATTGTTACTTGCACTGCTGCTGAATGTCACGAAACTTCTTTTTTGTAGGGGTGTTTGGTGGTGTTGGTTTTTATTTATGTATTTATTTTATTTTTAGGTGTGTTTTAAAAGTATTTTTGGTTTAAAGAAAATATTAAATTGATGAATTTTTTGAGTTCTTTCTGATGATTTTCATGTATTGATGTTAAAAATAAAACAAATCTAAAAAAATAATATTTAGATATATTTTTAAATGAAAAGCTATTTTGTAAAGTATTCTACACCACAATACTAAATATGTTGCCGTCCACCTTTTTTTTTTAGGTTTTGTGAGGGCATGTCTACTTTGGTAATCAATGTGCCATTCATTTTCCATATATATATATATATATATATATATAATCATAAAAGGTGGTTTTAGTGACTAGAAAATTAAGGTTTAAGTTTTTAAACTCTAAAAAACTAAATTTCAATTATTTTTCATCTAAACTCATGAATAAAAAAAAAAACCATTTCATGAGCCTTTATAACCTTGTTTCCAACAACAAATCAATCATAAAAGGTGGTTTTAGTGACTAGAAAATTAAGGTTTAAGTTTTTAAACTCTAAAAAACTAAATTTCAATTATTTTTCATCTAAACACATGAAAAAAAAAAAACCATTTCATGAGCTTTATAACCTTGTTTCCAACAACAAATCACATTCTAAATAACTAATAAGTTAAAAACCAAATAAAATTAATTTTTTTTGAAGAGCTAATCTACCTTTTCTAGCATAATTAAAGACAGAAATCACTTATATTAAGTTTTTATAGAAAATATGAATTTATAAATATTAAAATCAAAAGTTATTAGTAGCTAGAATCAAGCTACTCTAGAGTTTTTTCTCTTCTTAAATTTTTCAGTAACTCTTGCTCTCACTGCTTAATATTCAGGAACTAAAACATAAAATAAATAAAGTTAGACCAACATAGAAGATATCAAATGTAAAAAAAATTAAAATGAAGAGATCAAAATATAAATTTACATGCCTTTTGAACAATAACCAGGTGGAAGAGGTTGCATTTAAAAAAATAGGAGGCATGCCTGTTGACTCAAGAGCAACCTCGCCATGCAGGGACTTTTAAAATGGGAAAGTGACGCTGTGTTCCATGGATTGCCGGCATACGTTGACCTTAAAATGGGTTTTCTTTCCCTTCACTACATCACAAATCCTAATAAATTCTTTTCTCACAAAAAATAAAATAAAAAAAATAAAACTTGGATTCATAGAAGTAATTAGAAAACAACTAGTGGGAAAAGAAGCACATCTCCTCCATAAAACTAAGCTATTAAATCATAGTGCCGACAAAGTCATGGTTTAATTGTTCTTATAAAATAAAAACATAAATCTTGGATTCATTGAAGTAATTAGATAACAACTAGTGGGAAGAGAAGCACATCTCCTCCGTAAAACTAAGCTATTAAATCATAGTCCCGACAAAGTCATGGTTTAATTGTTCTTAGCAGTTGAAATTAGACTGTCATGATGCATCAAAACATCTAATATGCTCGGGAAGTAACAAGGTTTTTTTTTCAATGATTATACAGAAATTCATCATATGTTTATATTAATATTTTTTTTAAGATTCAAGAAATTGATGATCGGTGGTGATAGAAGATCCAACACTTGTAAAATAATTTTTTTGTGATATTTAGGAATTTTTTAATAATAAAGTTAATATTTTTTAATAAAAATTATAATAAATGAAAAAATAAACTTTAAATTATTAAAAACAAGAGTGTTTGTTTTTATATATTAATTATATATGATAAATGCTCTGTAAAATAAAAATATAAATAAAAAAATAAAAAAATAATAAACAGATTGATTATAAATTTAAACGAATTAAGCTCATATAAAATCTACACCCAAATATATAATAAAATGTGCGAGGGAGAAAAACGATTCAAGACAAGAAAACAGACCCAGCTCTTACATCATCAATGGCCAATAACAAGCACAAGTCCAGTGCCTTCTGTCTTGCGCCAGCAATTTTGGACAGGCCACCTAATATTATAGTTAACTAACTACTTTAGTTATGCTTGGGTACGGGTTGGATATTTTTAACTCAACAAAATCATTTTGAATATATAAGATCTTTCAAGGTTTTTTTTTACCTAAAAAATTTAATGTGTATATTTATAATTAAATAAATTAAAAATAATCTATTTTAATAAAAAAAATATTAACAAAACTAAAGATAAAATTGAAAAAATTGAAAAACAAGTGTAAATCAAGATATTTGACCTCAAATATAAGTTATTTACCTGATTGTGTTTAATGAATTTATTTATCAAAATTAATTTTTTTATTTGGTCAAATGATAATAAAAATAAATACACATATAAAATTGATTTAAAAAAATAAAAGAAAAAAACATATTATGCAAGGTTGTAATATTAGATATCTTATTCATTTTTTGTTTTTAAAATAAAATTTCATTTACATAAAACATAAAAAAATTATAGATAAATTAGAATAATCTCTTCAAAAATCAAATACATAGTAAAATAATTAAAAAAAACCTTTATTTTTAAAAAATAAACAAAATAAAAAAATCTGAGAAAATAAGTATTAATTTAAATATAACTTAAAAAACCCTTTAAGAAAGTACATATTAAAAAAAATTAATTAAAAAAACTAGAAAAAAAAAAAAGATTAGGAGTTATTGGAACATGCAAGCTAGGCTAGTGTGCATGGCCTACATGGAAAGGGAGCATGTGTCTAAGATCTTTTTTTATTTTTTTACTTCGGATATTCATTCCAATTTGTTTTGAAATATTTGTTTTTGTTTGGATTCTGATAATTATTGGAAAATCAAGACTTATAATATTTTAATATAAAAATTTATTTTTTAACCTATTGTGAACTCAAAACACTATTATCGTGACTAAGAGACCCAAACTAAAAAGCCATTTACTCCAGTATTAAGTTTATTGATTTTTTTAATTGAAAAGATTAAATAATAACTATACTTTTATAATGAATAATAATTTATATCTAGGTATACAGTGAACTCACCATGCACCTCAGTTTTTTTGTCCTAATTGCTGAAAAGAAACTCTATATTAATCAAATTATAGTTAATAAAAGCTATATGTTAGGGGTTCGTTTGATAGTACAGTGAGATGTAATTGAAATTATATTTTGCCCTGACTATAATTTTAAAATTATTTGGTTAATTAATACATATATAATTTTATAAAGGTTTCACTGAAGACTCTTTTGTTTTAAAAGCCTATAATTTATAGTTTTTATAAATCTATATCTTCAAATTACAACCCAAAAACTACTATAATATCAACTACATTACAAAATTTATAACTTATGGGGCTACACATCATTATGATATTAACGTGAAGTGGTAATAATATTAGATGGTTGGCAAACATGTGTTTGATAATGTTGTACATGACGCTTTTAAATTAAAATAATATTTTTTATATTAATATATCAAAACCATTATAAAAATCTATAAAGTTATTTTTT